GCTTTTTCTGGGTCAGTCCATTTCCCAGCAAAGCGGGGCTGGGGCAGGCAGGGGGGCAGAGCTGGAGGAGCAGAGGGGACAACCAAGCAGTGGGGCAGCCCCGCTGGCAGGGGGGCACCTGGCAGGTCTATCCCCCCCATGCCTGCGGGACCTGGTGGCCAGGGGTCCCCAGGTGGCCAAGTGACTGCACCCAAGAGCCATGGCAGAGCCCAGGAGCAGGGCTGGGGCCGGCGGTGGCCGTGCTCCCGAGTCACCCTCGTGTCCCTCTCGCGGCTGCTCAACCAGAAGCAGACTTTCCTGACGACTTGCAGAAATGAGGAGAGAAAGCGTGAAAGGAGAGACGTCTGCGCGAGGAGACAGGCTCCTGCCGGGTCACGGCAGAACATGTCCCCAAGCGTGACTTCAAGGGGCTGCTTGAGAAACGTGAAAACCTGATATAGAAGGGAGTTATTTTGGTGAGCGGCAGCTGCTGCATCTCACGCGTCTGCCCCTGCTCAACAGCCCCAGGTCTCGGGGCCAGCCCAGACGATGCCGGAGCAGCAAGACTGTGTGAGCTCTGAGCGGGGGCAGGATTTACCCTTCCTACCCAGCAAACACCATGACTGACGTCTCCATGGAGCCGTCTTCCCACCCCGTGATCCCATCCCGAGCCCCAGCCCAGTCCTCAACAGCCGCGACCGCAGGACTCTCCACTTTCTTCCCACGTGGAAACTCCCAGCCCTCGCAAATGCTGTGAAAACCCAGAAACGAGGATTCCCTAATGAGCTAAGACGCCAAGGAGACAACTCGAAAGAAGCCACCGCTTATTTTTAGAGACAACCTTATGATTCTTGAGCACGTGGCCCAGGCAATACTGCGCAGGCAGCCACAGATTGGCCGCAATCTGCTCCTCTTCTTGATAGACATCATGTCTGAATCTCTATCTCCACAAGATGCTCCCTGGAGAGAAGACATTTAGATACAACCACAAAGTACAACATTTCTAAAAGGTCACTGTGTGTACTCAGGAACGAGGTACAGAAGCCACTCATCAGCAACAGGGGCTTTGGGGAGGTACTTAATATTCCACAAGCATCTTTATTTCTCTACCAAGGTGAATAACTCCTCTAAAACAGTGGGTGCTATACTCTTATTTTGACCCAAGCAGTTGGACTGAACCACTTCTTCCTCCAGACAGATCTGAATCTCAACTGGGAAACGTTGGCTGAGAGCAAACCTGACCTGGATCTCAACAACTCTGTACCTGCCAGACCACTGGGGAGCTAAGGCTGAGCTTTGACTCCCCATCTTCAGCTGTGCCCCAAACCTCCTTGTTGCCCATAAGCCATTCCACCAGCACCTGGTAGAAACAGTCCAGTTGAACTTGGCTTCAGCCAGTGGCAATGGTCCCTGGATGGGCCATTTTTTGAGGATTCCCAGCAAGTTTCTGCTGCGCAGTGAAAACTTTTAATTTGCAGAAAAGTCTGTTAACATCCTGAGCAGGATGATGAGGGTCTGGAAGACAAATCCAGGCTGACAGCCCACGTCCTCAGGACTTCCCCCTGATGTGTTGCCATAGTTGTCTGTCACCGGGCCCAGCTGCTGGTCACGTTCCCGGTGATGTCCCTGTCCCTGAGCACCCAACCATCTGGGAGAGGACCCAGAAACCAGTTCAGAGGCAGCCTGGGTCTCAGAGATGTCCCCTGTAAAACCACCTTCCTCCTCTCCCACCAAAGGGCAAGACAGGCTGGACAGGGCTTCGAGCAACCTGGTCTAGTGGGAGATGGAACTTGATGATATTTAAGGTCCCTTCCAACTCTAACCATTCTATGATTGTGTGACGAACTTGATGATATTTAAGGTCCCTTCCAACTCTAACCAGTCTATGATTGTGTGACAGAGCCCAGGGGCTCTGGGCTTTGCAGAGCTCCCCACCTGAACCAAATCTGCCCTATCTGAACCCAGGTTTGTTTGTGCTCAGATTTCTTCCTGGCCCCAGCACGGGGAGCGGGGATGGGGAACCTGAGCCCCCGGGAAGTGTCCTCCTGGCATCTGTTGGCTTTAAAGCCCACGCCACGACGTTGCTGAGAGATTTAGAAAACACAAGCCCATAACAGCCCCGGCCAGCACAGACGTGACAGCCAGGCACGCACGTATCCTGGCTACGAGCAGAGCATCACGGAAAACAGGGCTACGCTCCTGGCAAGGGCTCCTGCCCCCACGGAGGCACAAATAAAGATCATTAAATGAGAGAGGGGAATTTGCTCCTTCTCCTGCAGCTGCTTCCCCCTCCTGCCTCCCGGGGCCCGCGGCCGCTTTCCGAGCTCATCACTTACCTTCTGCACCAAACGCTGCCCAAACGCAGCAACACCCCGGGAGCAAAACCTCAAAAAGGAGAGGACCAAAGCCAGCGTGTCCCGCTCGGCCAGAGCCACCTGGAAGGGCACGGAGGGAGGGCACCGGAGCCTGGCCAAGGGGATTGTCCCCAGACAGGGCACAAGCTGCGCTGGGGCTGGTGGTGGGGGACACCCCACACTGTCCCCCTACACTGGGAGCACCCATGTCCTGCAGACACATCACCTCCCAAGCAGCGGGGAGGTTGTGCCACCCCGTCACATGAAGGGACCCCGTGTCTCCGCTCCTCTAACCCAGGCAGCTCTGCCATAAATGAAGTGCTGGGGCAGGATGATTAATAATCACAACAGAAAAGCATACGCTGTAATTAGCCACCTTTCAGAAAGCTGATTGATGACGCTGCTCGGGGGCGTGCGGAGGCTCGGGCTGGCACAGGCGCAGCCGCCCCCCGGCCCCGATTTGGCCAGTGGAGCCCGGCAGAACTGGCCCAGACCCTCGTAGCCACCTGAGTGCCAGCCCATCCCCGCAGGCTTTGCCCCAGCAAACGACCTCATTTGTCCGCCTGGTCCAGCGCGCCAGCCCTCGTTAGATTCGGTCGTTCATTAAGCTCAGCTTCTCGGTGGTGCTGGGCTGGCACATAAATCACACTGTGATCGATGCCTCCAGCCGCCAGCGCCGGACCTTTGATGGCAAAGTCTGCTCTTAATCCTTCACCTGAACCACGGGGGATGCCACTGCTTGGTGCCAGGAGCTGTACAAAATGAAGTCAAGGCAGTCCCAGCCCCCTCTCCAAGGCTCCCAGATATAAAGACAGCCATTTCCAGATTTGACCCTTGGAAAGGACCCTGTTCCTGGGGGCTCAGCCCCATGGGGTGCCACCACCCACAGCGGGGGGTGGAGGGGTCCCTGGTGAGCCCAACCTTCCCTCTGGAGAGGGAGCCTGGAGCCCCGGGAAGGGCTGCTGCCAGCCCATGGGCACCGTACCTCGGGAGGGCGATGCATCAAGGGAGATTTAGATTAGATATTAGAAAGAACTACTTTACTGAGAGAGTGGTCAGGCCCTGGAACAGCCTGCCCAGGGAGGTGGTGGAGTCACCATCCCTGGAGGTATTTAAGAAACGTATAGACATGGCTCTTCAGGGCCTGCTCTAGTGCCCAAGGTTATTGGTTTATGGTGAGGTGTTGAGTGTGGGGTTTAGTTGGTGGGTGCGGTGGTTTTGGTGGGCGTTTGGTGTGGTGTGTTTTGTATTTGTTTGGTTTTTTTTTTTTTTTTTTGTAGTTGGGCTCGATGATCTCAGAGGTCCCTTCCAACCACTAAGATTCTGTGATTCTGTGATCATTCTGGAGGCTTTAATTGGACTGGACTCGTGGGCAGGAGGAACAGACTGACAGGCCAGACTGACAGACAGATGTCTGCTCCGAGGACAGGGCGGCAGAGGCAGCCATGGGTGGAAAACAACCCGGTCCCGGCAGGACTGCTCGGCTTTCTGCAGGAAAACAAGCTCGTTGCTCTGCCAGCAAACCTCTGCGGGGGCAGGGGGGCGAGAGGAGCCCCCGATCTGCTGGAAACCCTGCCCGGGGTGGGAATCCCAGGCGAGGGGAGTGAGGAGCAACAGCCTTCCCTCCGCCTTTCAGCTCTGCTCAGCGTCAGGCTGGGGAGGAATGCATTTTTTAAGACCCTGTCTACAGCTGCTGCATTGGAAATTTTATTGCCATCCCAATTACGATCACGGGAGCAGCGAGCAAAGAAAGCAAAATGCCATTACGGGGTGAAATAACGCTTGACATCGCAACCCAGACCAGGCGGGAGTGAGATCAACCCCCCCCAGCTGTAATAAACCCCCAAGAGGAGAAGGGGACAGGGGACTCCTCCCAGCTCTTCCTCAGCCCTACAGAGAGCAAATCCATCGCTGCTGGGATTTTGGAAGGGGCGAACTGGGTCCCAGGGGGGTCCAGCTGCGCCACCCCCGCATCTCCCCCAGGCTGGAGATGGCAGCGAGCGGTGACATTTGGAGCGAGACACGCTGGCGTAGGTCCCCAGCTCCACAGCTTCGGGGCATCAGCTGTGGCTGTGGGACCAGGAGAGCATCTCCTCCCCTATGCACAGCCCCGAGGAGGCTCCCAAAAGGTCAGAAATCCCCACGGCAGGAGGAGAAGGGGATGGCAGGGCTGTATCACCTCACTCTCTGCCCAGCATCTTGATAGCAGGGCAAGGGCAAAGCCTCCAGAGCCCCTCTCCCAGGACAGAGCTGCTGGACTCCCAAATCCCCGTTCGAACCCCAAATTGCTGCTGTTTAAACTGAAGCTGTGCACACACACTTCTTGGTGTGGCCAATGCTGGGGTCCCTGCTGTTTGCCAGCAACCTCGGAGCGAGTACCAGAACCCCTCAGCTTTGCATCACGTCCCCACTTGAGTTACTTCTTCCTCATTTTGGGGTCATGGCAACAGGGAGGAGATTTTCTCAATTATATGGGATAAATCTCCAGCTTGAGTGCTGCAAAAGGAGGGTGGGGACAAGGAGGGAGCTAATGCCACCAAGCAGGGATGGCCATGAGCTAAAAACGAGCTGCATTTCAAGCATCCTGGTGCACAAAACCCACAGGGTGCAAAGGCAGGGATGATGCTGAACCCCCCCTCACCCTGCTCGAGCCCAGGGAGCACTCACTGTTCTGCAGGTCTGGGGCCGCACCGACATCTGGATCTGCTGTGGCATCTGAGACCGGGGATATTTAAACATCAAAGTGTCCGGCACAGCGAGCCTCGGCTCCTCTGGACAAAACAGCACAAGGAGAGGACTGTAAATCACCCTTCCACAGTGTCCAGCACAGAAATCCCAAATAAATGCCCCCAAAGCCTAAGGCCGTGGCACACAGGCACCTCCCAGAGAGGGGAAGCCTCCTTAGTGTCACTCCAGTCGGACGTGTGACCTGACCATTACCTAGTTACATATATATATAAAATTACATAGCACTTTGTACCCCAAAAAGGTCCTCTTACAAACAGGAGAGCGTCCGAGCCCAGCACTGCCGTGGCCAGCTCTGTGGTGGAGCAAGGAGAGACGCAGCAATGCAATCACGTGTGGGGATTTCAGGAGGAGATGGCACCCACGCAGCACATTCCCACAGCCAGATCGCCACGAGTCCTCTCATTTCAGGACATTTGACCCACACTTGGAAGCAGAAATGCTGCTGGATGGACCCCCCACTTCCTGCATCCCTCCCTGGGGGCACTTTGCAGGGTCAAGGGATGTGGCCCCAGCCCCGACGGCTGGTGCAGGGGATGCAGGACACGACAAATGATTTGTTATGGTTTTCCTAAAGCCTTTGGAGCTCTCTCGATCAAGTTTAATTTGCCTCAAAAAAGAAAGATGGAATTTAAATAGGTCCATAGCTCCTTGTGGCGGGGGGAAACCCAGCTCCTCCTGGCTAACAGACCACAAATGGTCCCAGACTCAGGTGTCGTTCAGCTACAACTGGGCAGAGATGTGACATCTCATTAATTTGCCTAAAAAAAGAAAGATGGAATTTAAATAGGTCCACAGCTCCTTGTGGCGGGGGGAAACCCATCTCCTCCTGGCTAACAGACCACAAATGGTCCCGGACTCAGGTCCCGCTCAGCTACAACCGGGCAGAGATGTGACATCTCGGCAGCAGCTCTGATGCTGCTCAGGACCCCGACCCCTCTCTGTCCCCTGCTCCTGCCTGGCCGAGCTGCTCAGGGGTGGCAGCAGCCGCTGGGGAAGCTAATTCCTGCTGCGAGAGGTTTGGGGAGCCTCAGCTGAAGGAGCTGAAGGAGTTTTCTCTTGCAGGGATTTGGTGGAGAACAGCAGAGAAATGAGAAGCCGGCTCTGCAGCAGCATCCGGAGCCAGTGGCACGTCTTGTACCCCTTAGTGCTCCGGGGACATCCCTGGTGACACCAGGGAGCCAAGAGCTGACCCCAGAAGCAGGGGGTGCCCCCTGCTCGGGCAGAGCTGTCCCCTGCAGCCTCCCCACGTGCTCCTGCAAGCCCCGGCTCCCTCCGGGTGCTGCTTTTGGGTGGGAAAAACCCAGCGAACTGACAGCACACAGCACTCCAGAAAAGCTACAATTCCTCCAGGAAAGCTACAATTCCTCCAGGAAAGCATCACTAACAATGGAGAGATCCCCTAAAACCTGCCGGCTCAGGCTCAGCCAGGCAAGGGGTCTGCTTCCCTGCTTCACCCCATCCTCCTCTCGCTCCTGTTTGGCAGTCACTGGCAGGGACACACAGGATTCAATTCCTGCTTCACACAGGGACATGCGCCAACAAAGATGGAATGCTGCTAAAATTCCTCCTGTCAGCAACTGCAGCAAGGAAACCTCCTGCCATGGACATGTCCAGTTCTGGGCACCTCAATACAAGAGAGATCTGGAGGTGCTGGAGCGGGTGCAGAGGAGGGCAACGAAACTAGTGAAGGGCCTAGAAGACAAATCATATGAAGAGCGGCTGAAGGAGCTGGGACTGTTTAGTCTGAGGAAGAGGAGGCTGAGGGGAGACCTCATCACTCTCTACAACTGCTTGAAAGGACACTGTAGAGAGGTTGGTGCTGGGCTCTTCTCACAGGTAATTAACGACAGAACGAGAGGGAATGGCTTCAAGCTCCAACAGGGGAGGTTTAAACTGAACATTAGGAAGGAATTTTTCACAGAAAGAGTGGTCGGGCATTGGAACAGGCTGCCCAGGGAGGGGGGGGAGTCACCATCTCTGGCTGAGTTTAAGAGTTGTTTAGATGCAGTGCTGAGGGACATGGTGTAGGGGAGAACTTTGTAGAGTAGGGGAGATGGTTGGACTCGATGATCCCAAGGGTCTCTTCCAACCTGAATGATTCTATGATTCTATGCTGGGCTTTGCTGGTGGAGCCAGGGGATACCCCAGCCTCTCCAGGCTGGCCAGAGGACGTGGCATCAGGGACAGGGAGTGCTCTGGGGCTGGTGGCAGGACGGGAAAAGCCCAGCGCAGACCCAGGCACGATGGCATCCCCACATGGGCCCTGTAGCGTGCGTGGAGAAGTGACTCAGAGCCAATATTTAAAATAAATGTAAGCGCAACCTAGACCAAGCCCTGCGATGGGGAAACGACCCCAAAACACAGAATCACAGAATCACAGAATCTTGGTGGTTGGAAGGGACCTCTGAGATCATGGAGTCCAACCACACAGCAAAAAACAAAACAAAACAAAAAACAGACCACCACACCCACAACAAACACCACACCACACAACACCCACCAACCAAGACCCATACCAACAGCACCACATACAACACCCCACCACACCCCAATAATCTTGGGCACTAGAGCATGCTCTGAAGAGCCACCTCTACACGTTTCTTCAATACCTCCAGGGATGGTGACTCCACCACCTCCCTGGGCAGGCTGTTCCAGTGCCTGACCACCCTCTCAGTAAAGTCATTCTTCCTAATATCTAAGCTAAACCTCCCCTGCCCCAGCTTCAGACCATTTCCTCTGGTCTGGTCATTATTCCCCTGGGAGAAGAGGCCAACCCCCACCTCTCTGCAACCTCCTTTGAGGGAGTTGTAGAGGGCAATGAGGTCTCCCCTCAGCCTCCTCTTCTCCAAAGTAAACATGCCCAGTTCCCTCAGCCTCTCCTCACAGGACTTGTTCTCTAGACCCCTCACACCTCAGCCTGCCCTCAGCCCCCGTGCTGGGAAAATCTGCAGCATCACCAGCAACTGATGTGGTGCAATTCAGCAGGGATTTTGTCCAGAGAGTCAACCCAACCCAGCGCACGTGCTTCCAGGGGCTGCAGCCTCCACCGTGTCACGAGCGGCCCAGGGAGGTGGTGGAGTCTCCTTCTCCGGGGACATTCAAAACCCTCCTGGACACGTTCCTGGGCGACCTGCTCTGGGTGGTTGGACTAGACGATCTCTGGAGGTCTCTTCCAACCCCATGTGATTCTGTGACTCCGTGAAGCACAAATATCTGTTCCAGTTACGTGGTGCTGGCAGCTGCAGAGCACGTGGGGCTCCTCTAATGCCCAAGCCATGGGATAATTGGGAGGGAAGGGGGTCAGTTTCGCACTGCAGCCATGTGTGCAGGACTTTGCATGCTCCAGCCCCTCCGTGCACGGTGACAGGGGTGACACAGACACGGGGGATGATGCTCGGAGCCATCACCATCCAGGAGTTAAGCACAACCATTGCCAGAGCCGCTCGCCTTGCTGCTCCTCAGGGCTGGGCTCCGGCTGCCGGGGATGGATAAGGCAAAATTTAATACAAATTCCACCAAGCTGGACATGCCCGTGTATTTATTGCAAACTGCTGGAACCAAATTGCAGTAAAGCAAAATCTGCTCAACTCCCTGTGTTTACCGGCCCCTCTCCTGCCCTCCCTCTCCAGCTTTGACTCCAGACCCGCCTGCGAGCTGGGAACATGATGTTTAAGCTCATTTTAGAGAGCACCCAGACTTGGCTTATCAACCCCTGCACCACCATTCCCAGCCCCCGAGCAACGAGGGTCTCAGCTGATGGTCTTGGCATTTATTTTCAGCAGCTCCTGTGTCACTCGGCAACCTCCGTTTCAGGTTACTTCAGGTTTTTTGTCCGCAAATGTATTTTAATCCCTGTGAAATGGGACCCACCAACATGTGGGTGAAGTGGCCTAAAACCTCCTCCGGTCCCATGTGTCACCACCACCAGCAGGACTCCCTGTCTGTCCATGTACTCATACCACCAGAGCACTTGCCACCGTCCAGCCCCTGTGCCTTGTATTTTAAGGCACATGTACTTAAAACTTGTATTTTAACTCTCTCCTAGAGCAATTAAATGGAAGCATCGGAGATGAGTCTTCTCCTCCTGGGCACTACATGGGACCTGTCTCTCCATCGCAGAGGCTCCAGTACAAGTTCTGTGCATGGGAGCCTCTTGAAGAAGGAATTTGGCAGCAAAGCCAAAAGCCAAAGGGGACCCAGATGTCCTGTGAAATCAGCAGAGACACTTGTACCTCCAGAGGACCAGACCGGGATGTCCCAAGCCAAGGGCAGGAGCATCCCTTGGGACACACATTCCAACACTCTTGAGCACGGCAACGAATCTGCAGCTCATCCCAGCCCATGAGGGAGCTGCAGCCCCCAAGAACCCACAAGAGACTTATACCCCAGAAGCCCCTCAACACTCTCACACAGCAACAGGACACCCAACAGTCCATGGTCCGGCCAAGCCCACCTTGCACCTCCCCAGCATCCCAGAGAGCGGAGCACAAGCAGTAAGCCAGACGCTTTTGCTCATTAGTGTAATTAACATCAGACTTTCCAGCCAATCGGGCTTCTGTTTGACCTTTAGTTGTTGAAATATGACCAATAACAATGACGCATTATCATGGAGGGGGTGTCATGGACCATTTCCTTGAAATCCACAGTGAAAACCTCTTAGTGACGTGCCCTCAAAGAGCATCTTTCTGCAAAAGTAAATGGGAAAATTTGGAAAACCACCAGGGAAGGAGGAAAAATCCAGCTCCAGCCATCCATAGCCATCCATAGCAGCGGCCCAGCAAGGACATGGGATGTCCCAGCTTCTGGTGGGCACAGCCAGAAACGACCCCAGGGAGACAAATGGAGAGACGGGGCAGAAGTGTTAAAAAATGAGACAGAGGGGAAAAAAAAGACTTGATTCTTTAGAGTCTTGGGAAAGTTGGAAGTCACCGAGATGGAGGCAGCCTGGCCAGAAAATTGTGGCAGTCGGAGCCCAGCCCAGCCCCGAGTGGACCCTGCACCAGGAACGGCTGTGCCTGTGTCC